TTCAAGGGGAATGACAGGCTTTACGATGTTGGTCCAAGTGGGCGAAAACGAACATGTGGTGGCCTACTTCAGTAGGGTGTTAAGTAGACCAGAGAGTAACTACTGTGTAACACGGAGGGAGCTCCTTGCTATAGTAAAGACATATTTCCATCCTTACCTCTATGGTGCAAGGTTTACCATCAGGACAGACCATGCTGCATTACGCTGGTTAAGGTCATTAAAGAACCCAGAGGGACAACTAGCACGTTGGATCGGGAAAATAGACCAGTATGATTATAGTATTCAATATAGAGAAGGAAAATCCCATGGTAATGCTGATGGACTGAGCCGAAGATCCTGCAAAAATGACTGCAGACATTGCTGCAAAAGAGAGGTTGAACTAACCAGGTGCCATCAAGCTGAAGTCAAGCCGACTGAAAGTGTTGATAATGGTGAGGTGGAACCAAATATAGATATCAAGGCAGAACAGGAGAAAAACCAAGATTTGAAGCCAGTGATTGATTTTCTAAAAGCAAGTGTTTTGCACCCTGCTTGGGAGAAGGTGTCTAGTCTAAGCCCTGTGACAAAGAACTATTGGGCACAATGGGACCGGTTGAAACTTGAAGATGGTATTCTTCTCCGGAGATGGGAAACTGCAGATGGGAAAGTGACGACCTGGCAAACGGTTATACCAAGGAAGTTACGGGAAGTTGTGTTGCGTCAATCCCATCATACTGTAACAGGAGGACATCTCGGAGTTAAGAAAACATTGAGTTACCTACGACAGAGATTTTACTGGATAGGTATGAGACAAGATGTGGAAGAATGGTGCAGAACATGCAGTACAATGTTGTGCTAAAAGGAGACTCAAGCATAAGGGACGTGCTCCAATGAAGTTATATCAAGTTGGTGCACCAATGGAAAGAGTAGCCATCGACATTACTGGTCCTCTGCCCCAAACTCGTGCTGGAAACAAGTACATTTGTGTGGTGATGGATTTTTCACCAAGTAGCCTGAGGCATATGCAATACCAAATCAGGAAGCTACAACTGCAGCTTCAGCTATTAGTGACTTCTTCAGATTTGATATGCCATATGAACTGCATTCAGATCGAGGCCGTAACTTTGAATCAGCTGTGTTCCAAGAATGCTGCAAGTTGTTTGGCATCCAAAAGACCAGGATAACGCCACTTCACCCACAGTCTGATGGGATGGTAGAAAAGTACAACTGGACAGGAATTTGCAAAGTTTTGTAATAGCTGCCAAGATGACTGGGATGTCTTACTCCCTCCACTGTTGATTGCCTATAGGACAGCAGAGCATGAAACCACTGGATAAACTCCAGCAAAGTTGATGTTTGGTCGGGAACTTCGGTTGCCAGTGGATCTGTTAACATGATGCCCACCTTATGAAGAGTTGCCTGAGAATGTGTCAGAGTTTGTGAAAGTGTTATCGGAAAGGATGGATGATATCCACCATCAAGTGCGTTCAAACTTGAAAACGTCTGCTGATTCGATGAAGTTAACTTATGATAAGAGATCTACTGAAGTCTGCTTTGTACCCGGAGACAAGGTATGGTTGTATAATCCCAGGAAGACCAAAGGGAAGTCTCCTAAGTTGTCTTCTTTATGGGAAGGCCCATATGACATAGTGGATCGTCTCTCAGACGTGACTTTCCGGGTAAAATGTGGTCGGCGAGGTAAGTCAAAAGTGGTGCATGCCAACAGGCTTTGGCATTATCACAGTCCAGGACATTTCAGTTGGGACGAAGTGAACAACAGAACGAATGACGCTGCTGAAGACGTGCCACCTGAAGAAGTCATCGTCGAAGAAGAAACTCTACTCAGTTTTGAGAAGGGAAACGGTGAAGCTCTTGATGAAGTTACTACCACTGATGTGACTGTTACTGATGAAGCAGATGAATCCCACATGAAGCACAAGCCAACAAGACGGAGACCAGTACGGAAGAAGATATGTCCCGTAAAATTAAAAGACTTTGTTGAATTTTAATTTTTTGATTGTAATTTTGTACATTTAATTAAGTTATTGCTAATTGTTATTGGTTTATTGTAAGTGGTTATTGTTCGGGATGAACAATATTAAGGAGGGGGCAGTGTTGCGTTAATTAACGAAACGAAGACGTAACAGTACCTTTCTGTTTCACTTTCAAAAATTCACAACTATAAAGGGAAGTATGCTATTACAAACATTTCTTAACAGTTTACTATAACAGTTGATCCTGAGCTTCGATGTTAACATCTGTTCATTGCCACTAGCCTGACTGTTCATACTAAAATAGTAACACTGAACTGTTAACTTAACCAACATTTTTAATGTTCACCACATTATAAGCATTTTCTATCAAATATACATTAATATTGTTACGTCTCCGTTTGTTAATTAACTTTCCGTAACTTCGTTCCGACGAAACTTTAGCGACACAAGTCCTTACTTAATAAAACTGGTTTATTCTTTCTGAATATAACTTTACGATACACTTAATTTCAATATTCGCGCTAAAACAAATAGTGTAACGAACGAATGTTAACTTCAACAATACCCTGTGACTGCAGTTCAATTACTCACTACCTATACTCACCCTTCCTCCCCGTCTCGTTGTCACCCTCTTTTATAAACCAACCCATCCCATATTTATAAAATACTAGTACTTACCCCAACGCACGGGAATATT